ATCACGTATTAACGGCTCAGCTGTATGGATTTCTGTCTGCCTAACAGCACTGACCCTGTGTACATTCAATAACTGAGACAAGTAGTTCCTCCACCTATTCAAAATGTTGTGGGAACCTGCAAGCAGATCACCATTCTCATGCTTCACTAAGTTACTCCTAGGTTTGTAACCCCTCTTAAAGTCATTTATTCCCTTATACAGGCCTCTAATGTTCTTGTTCTTACTGTTCATTGGAAACTCATAAATTTTGTCTTTCAGATATTCCCTCTTTTTGTTCCTGAAATCCCTGCTGGTTTCACGTCTTATATTGTTGAGATTCTCCCAATTTATTTTGCTAGGATCCTATAACCATTGCAATTTGGCTTGTTTTCTTTGGTATAGTAATTTTGAGCATCCTTACGCGAACCATGGCTTATGCTTCTTTAGTTCATAATAACCTAGGCACTCCTTGGCAGAAATTTTTATATTCTATCTAATAGCTTCTCAGACTTTATTAACAACCACCAGAGTTTCCAAATTTTCCAAGGCCGCGAATCTATTTGAGATTTCGACACGATACTGATCTTTTCCCTCTGCCTCATTTATTTTCTTGAGAATGAACCTCTCCATATGAACTCTGTGTGTTGTTTGTTTGCTCACTGCCAGTCTTTCCCTAACCTTTGCTACAACCAGGTAGTGGTCAGTATCACAACCTGCTGCCCTGAATGATCGGACATCAAGTATACTTGAATGCCGTCTCCTGTCTATCAAAATATGGTCGATTTGATTCTGTATCTTTCCATCAGGAGATGTCCAAGTAAATTTATGGATGTTACGTTGCGGGAACCTTGTACTTTTGACATAAGATTTTTTATATGGCAAAATTTACTACTCTAACTTCATTATCATTACTAATTTCATGCAATCTCTCATTCCCAATCGTTGGTTTGAATATGTCTTCCCTCCCTAGTTTGTCATTGAAATCTCCTAGCAAAATTTTCACATGGTACTTCGGGAAATTATCAAATACATGTTCTAGTTCCACATAGAGCCAATCCTTTATGTCATCAATTTTATCTTCTGTTGGGGCGTGAACATTCATAACAATGATATCACACCAGCGACCTTTAGTATTATATATGATATCCTATCGCTAACAAACTCTACCCTCTTAACTGCTGATACGATTCTCTTATGTACGAAAAAATTGTCCTTAATTCGTGATTTTCATTCCCCTTTCCATAGAAAAATGTACGTGTATATTCGCCTGCTGGTGCTTCGGTGGCCTATAAAAGTCGAAACATTGAAAAAAATATTTAGGAATATTGTTCGTTTTAAATTAGTCGTTCATGCTTAGAAATATGATCGTAGATGTATAAGTTGAATTATACAAATTGGTAGCAAATGCAACGGTACTTACGTATTAAAGGGTGACTCAAATAATTTTGTCAGTCCCTGAAATTTTGTTTTAAAAGTAAGATCCAAAGCCGAAGCATGGAGTTTGCCTCTAACACCAAGTTCACATTGTTAGGATTTTGGTTTTGTTTTTAATACGTCAGATGTCTGATTACATTTCGAAAAATTTAAGATTTAATTTATAATAAATACCTGAAACGACCCTAAGGTTAGGCTTCATATTTTGCGTTCACAATTAAATGTCTACATTTGGTAGCGCTGACATGGCGGACAGTATGACTATAACTCTTATTTCTAAATACTTATAACGATAATTCAAAATTCATTTTTCTGACGATGAAATTTATGGAATTTAAAAGTAGGTAAGGTCACGAATTCGAATGTCATTTATTGCCGCAAATAATTTTTAGGTAAATCCCAGTTTCTGCCTGGAGTTCCTCGGAAAACTCATGATAATTTCCACTTTTTAATTTTTTTATTGCTAGTGGGGTGGGACTAAGTCCCTTGTACTGCGGCCACTTCTGGCCTATTGTAACAGCCCCAGATGATAGGTGAGGGTGATTGTGGAGCAATTGGTGGAATGAAGATTGGCAGGGGAAACCGAAGTACTCGGAGAAAACCTGCCCTAGCGCCACTTTGTCCACCACAAGTCCCACTTGACCAGAGCCGGGATCAAACCCGGGCCGCCGCGGTGGGAAGCCAGTTAGTCAGATAGACTCTGGCTGATACCGGAAGTTTACACTTCAGGGATATGGGTCAGACTAGTTATCGCTGTACTAACCAATTCACTCGCTCAGAAATTTTCTTATTGAAATATAATTCGAATTATAACCAATAAATGGTTGGATAATGGCATAATCTGTGACATTCTATCGTAAACCATTCATTTGGAATCTTTTTTACATTTCTTTAGAAGAACAGATTTATTATAAAGCGAAACTACTGATAGACGTAACCTATGAAATATGTTACCTTAAAATGAATATTATCCTGCCCAGGTTTACGCAATGTACATGACAACTCCCCTTCTTCATTCTCTTCTGTCAACTGCGGCAGAGCAGAATTGTCCTTCACAGACATGTCTTCTAACGAGCTGTACCTGAAGCGTGTAGCCTACAGACGCTACAGACAAAGGCACCAGTCAATCTTCGTTCTTACAGCAGTTAGTGAGTTTATGAAAAAGACAGCAATCCGCTAGAACGCATGCGCCCTTCACTTGTATCAACAAATGTCAGATTTATGTCCAGGAAATAATTTTTCAGTGACATTAATTACTCTAGGCACCATATTGCTGTGAACTTCATGTAAACAGAATGTGCACGGGGCCACTTGGCATGATAAGATGTAGGTCAACAAGTCTGTTTGAAATTACATTGGCACGTTTAAATTTAAAATGCGGACCAATCAGTGCAATTTTCTCTCACACAACGAAGTAATTGAAAGCGTACAGAGGAGTATCTGAGCCGGCGGCAATTTTTGAAGCTTACAGATTCGTAGTTTAAAAAGACTAAGTCGCGGATTTAAGTTCCTTTCGTGCATAAATACGGTCTTAATTTTCTCTGTTGACCTGTAGAGGCTGTTTAGTGACATGATCCCAAACAAGAAGCATCCTAATAGGTTCAAATGAATAAATAGATTCGATATATATATAATTATGTTGAAAATGTTGCAATATATATATATATGGGCCTACTGCAGAAATGGAACTAGACTCTAGTAAGGTGGTTCGATGATATATAATACAGAAAAGCCAGGCCGTATATTTACCCTCCTCAAGAGATTGCATGACAAATTCGGAATACAATATACCGGCAGCTGAATCAATCTATCCCTAATGAAGTGAAGTTCAAATATTTCAGTGAGATAGTAATAAATCAAAATCTCACTCATGAAGAGCAAATTAAACAAAGGGAAGTGCTTGCTACCAAACAGTTCATAATCCTCTATCTTCCAAGCGTTTATCTAAACATCTAAAGATAAACTAGAATGTAGAGTTGTACCTGCTGCCTGGATGTGCATAAGACTTCCTCACCTACACCACTGGAATTACTCATGCATAGATTCAGGAGCTTAAGAATAGGGTGCTGAGGAGAACGTTTGGAAGTAGGAGAGAGAATACCAATAAGAAGAAGAAAGCTAAAGAATGAGACACTTTACAAATTAAACTTTCCACAGAATATTATAAGTAGGATCTGATGTTCTCACAGCGGTCCTTATGAAGAGTTCTATCTTCTGGGGTATCGAAATCCCATCGACATTTCGGGGGGTCATATTGCCTCCATCTTCAGGATCAAAGAATGGTTCAAGCAAGAACAGCATGAAAAGGTTAGCAAGTAGAGCCCTGCATCATGACGGTCTCTTGATTGATATTTTGTACGATAAATTATCTTCGGAAACATTCCAATCTTAAACAAGGCATTTCCACAATCTGAAACAACATGACGACCACAAGAAATCTGTTTCGGTTTTAAAGTAATAATTAATCCTTTTATGATGATTATAATTATATATATCTCTACAGCCCTTTGTTGGGCCTTGGTCGCTTTTCAGTTTCTTGATCTTACCTTAGATCGCTCGGCTACCGTGATCGGCGATAATTAGCCTTTAGACCCAGATAAGTACAATTTTATAAGACTACGTGTCATAAATGCGACTACAAATTCTGTGTTAGTCATTTTATAAATATTAACTATTACAAATATGGCGACAATGTGGAAATCCACAAATTATCCCATAACGGGAAAATCTGAGGTGCGGGTACTTGTCGATTTATGCGACAGTTGTATTTCGAACGAAACAGAATCGCAGAATGTGGCGGAAGGAAATTCAGCACTAAATGTTGCCTTATCCGCACACAGTACGAAGAGGATAGGCGGCTAGGCCAGGTTTGCCTTCTCTTGCATTCTTCCGAGGCCGCCACACAAAAACTGCTCGGCAAATAAGCAATTCGTATTGAAGCCAGCGCTATTAACTAAAATCGGCCTAAAATTGTTTGGGACATTAAAATGAAATCGCGTTTTTCAAACACATATAATGAGGTGTACGTGTATTGGAATGTGGAGCAGAGGACATTATACGCAGTTTTATCACCAGTTTCTGTATCAATTTATAGTTTTTGTTTTCTTACTTGTAGGAAAGTTTCGGGAGAAATTTACATTACCAACGAAATGGCACCGTATGCGGGAAACATTTTGATTGTAGAGGTTAAAAACTTGATAAAAAGATTTTTATTACAGCACAAGTAACGGGAGACTGTAAAACAACTATTCGCTACCCATCTTCAAATGGAGAGAAATTAACATTAGACAAACACAAGAGGACCTATCTCTTATGTAACTTATTAAAAGGAACAGCCAAATTAAAAAAAAATCATAAACTCCCTGAAATTATATCTTCCTGTGATGAACAGCAAGCAGCTGTCTTGTAGGACGCCATTTTTATAACAAGGCAGAGAATATAGAAAACACTGGAATATAACAGACTAGCATATATCTGCTTTATGGGTGTAAAAAAGCACCTGAAATCTTAGCATTGAATACAGTTCTGGAAATTTTAGAAACAATGTACAAAATTTTTCATTTTTTTAGAAACAATGTACAAAATTTTTCATTTTAATTAAGGATATATATGTAAATAATTTTACTAGATCATGATCTCACTGCAAGGTTCCGGAAAAGATTTCAGCGAATAGAGTGGGTCGCTAAGCTAATGTTTTTAACATGGCAAGGAACAAAATTATAAAAGTCGTTAACTCTAAAAACGGATATAGAACGGGGAATAACAAATAAATACAATACGATATGCGGATGATGCAGTGCTGATAGCAGACGATGAGAATCATTTACAACGAGTATTATATGTCATAGTTTAGTTCTCAGCAGTATAATAAGAACATTTCGATCATTAAAGCAAAGACCCCTAATTTTGCGTTATAAACCTCTCCGATATATTTTGGAAATACAAGGTAAAGTGAAGAAAGCAGTCTTCTGGGATTTGGCACCGTGTATATGTGGTGTTAACCGACTTTTCGGAGGAACGTATCGCCTCCATCTTCAGGGTAGAAGAAAAAAAATATATAAGAAAAGCAGTCTGCTTTTACCGGTTCTCACGGTCTCTTTGCTTGCAGATTTCTTATATATTTTTTCTTCTACCCTGAAGATGGAGGCGATACGTTCCTCCGAAACGTCGGTTAACACCATATATACACGGTGCCAAATCCCAGAAGACTGCTTTCTTCATAGTCACCGCCGTGAAAGCCTCAAATCTTACAAGGTAAAGTGGCTGAACAAGCAATGAGCTTGAGGTACTTGGAAGTAGAGGCAAAAAGCAACGGAGTACAGAAATCGGAAATAAATCATCATGCATGTAAAGCTGCTAAGCTGTCTGAAAGCCTGAATGACACAATATATCGAAATAAATATTTAAGAGCGGAACCTCAAGTAAGAATATATAAATCAGCTACATGACCGGTCCTAACCCACGCAACGGAAGCCAGAGCAGACGCTTGCAGAGTAAAGGAAATACGTAATAGACTTACAGGAACGAACATCTCAAAGAAAATTGTCGGGAATGCAAGAGTGTGTCGTGTATGAAGCCGTTCTAATAAGGAGCAATGCGAAAAGTAGTCAGTAGGAAACAGGATGAATAAACGTAGGGAAGAAGGTGCAACCAGAATTAAAAAATTATAGCAAACAGAATTGTTCAGGTCGTCGGATATATCACCCCGAAATGTGGAAGGATCCTAGGGAGACCTCGTAAGCTTTGGAATGGTTCTTTCTTTTTCCCTCTCTGTTTCTGCATAAACAGGCGATAATCGTAAATACAAGAAAGAAGAAGAAGAAGCTATCCTTATAACCCAGATGGAAATATACGAAGAAAAGGATGCATGATAAGTTGTTTCGAATTTACATATAACTCTAATTAGTAGCAATTGCTGGGTAAGTTTGGGCTAGCAGTTCTTATCACATCAAAAATTGCATGCATATGAGTGAGACAGTTTCATCGTGAAGTACATAAGAGTGATAGAACTTATAGAGTATTCTGACATACAATTAGATTGATCGATCCTGAAGTGACAGAAAACACAATGAGATTGATAGCGGATGTTATACAAGTGTCACTTTTGAACACCGGTTATGCAAATGAAGCTCTCCCTGTCTCTCTCTCTGTTCCCTACTCAAAGACTGATCGAGCAGACACTAAACTGTAAGGCCTTTGTACTGATAATTTCTCACTCGGAATGCATGGTTTGTTTTTCCAGATACTGTCACTAGATATGCGGTGCTTGTACTTTCAGAGACACTGCCACTAGGAATGCGGCGTCATGAATTCCTCGAGATATTATCATTAGGAATGCCGTTACCCCTAACCCCAATCCTCAAAGCATCGAAGTATATGACCTAATTACGCAGATTATTAGACCTATGTTATTTTAGGTTCCGTCTAACATATCGGAAAAAAATTATCAGCTACTCCTCAGCCTTTATTTGAACCCACTGTACAATGATCTCCACTATAAACACTGCTTTACATACGTACAAGAAGCAAAGTCTGTGACATATGTGGAAGGATATTGCGAGCAGGAACAACAATAAAATCATCGAATTGAACTGACGTTTCTCTCTTTTCCCCTTTCACAAGATTTCGATGTCATTCGCTGTCCAGCTGAACGACATTTACAGGATTATTAAATAAAATACAAGACTTTGTCTATTGTGACGCAACATGTATAGAGTAAACTCTCGTTATATGGAACAATAGGGGCGAAAGTGTGTCCGTCTTTGCTGATGTCAGCTATAACAGAGTGAATGTATAGTCACGGAAGTACATCATAGGAAATATAGCCAATACATGCAACAAGCATAGAGACATAAAACGTGATTACGTAAAGTTTTCATTCCCTACTTTAAATAGTTTTCTAGCTGCAAAACCTTCTTAGCTCCTCAACATCTGTAAAAATTCACAATTGTACAAAGACAGATTTTGTCCGTATATCATAAATAAGTTATATCCGTATCCATTATAATGAGGGTTTACTGTGTATGTTAAGTTACGTAGAGATAACCGAATTTTAAAACTTCATAATTGCTGTTGATTTGTTCGTGCTGGTATCTTGAAAATTTACAGAAAGTAACACAGCTTGAAAAAAATATGAACATAACCATCGCTGTGTAAGTAACTATAGGTTATATTCAGGAAAATTTGGTTAAATCAGTATTTTACTGCGGTAATGCTGTAATCTACAAAGAAAAAGTGTCATAATCGCCACAGGTAAGCCTGTAATGGGTTACTTTTCAGATTTCATATATAATCTGGAAAAGTACGGCCCAAATGAATTGAGTGAGCAATTTATATACTGCGTTGTATTTCTTGGGGTTGCTTTGACAGCGATGTCAGTATCTCAGACTACAGGTCCACAGCTTCGAATCTTATGGTGATTGGGGAATATTAAGTCGGAAACGATGTGCAACGATGCTGTGTCTCTAAATCGAGGCATATGCCCGACATTTTCTTCGGGGGGCTAAGGACATTCACAAAAAACCTCTGTCAGGGTAGCCAGTGTCCCGACCGATATTCGAAGCGAACATCTCCCGAACACAAGTCTAGAGCATTACCGCTAAACCAACCTGCTCGGTAATCGTCTTGCAAATTCGCTGATAGCAACAATAAAAATTTCGTCTAAGGTCAAATGTCATTTGGTGAGATATATTTAAAAATTAAAGTCATTAACTTGATCTCTGACATTAAGGGAGGAACATAGACTGAGCGTATTTGAGAACAGGGTGTTAAGGAGAATATTACGACCGAAGATGGATCAAGTGACAGGAGGTTAGAAAAAACTGCATAATGAGGAGCTTCATAACTAATACTTTTCTCCAAGTATAATTAGAATGATCAAGTCAAGGGGGATGAGATTGACATGCATGTAGCACGAATGGGGAGAAGAGGAATGCATATAGGATATTGGTGGGAAAGCCAGAAGGAAGGAGACCACTGGGAAGACCAAGGCGTAGGTGGGTGGACACTATTAAAATGTATCTTAGAGAGACAGGAAGGGATAGTATGGATTGGATTGATCTGGCTCAGGATAGGGACCAGTGGACAGTTTTTGTGAACACGGTAATGAACCTTCGGGTTCCATAAAATGCTGGGAAATTCTTAAGTAGCTGCATTTTTGGGGTTTCCTTAAGAAGTGCTCAGCTCCGTATGTAAGTCAGTATTAACGTTGAATAACATTTTAACTCAGAAGAGCAGATATCTCATTCCATTGCCTGCAATATTTTTTCAGGTGGCTGGAAGTTTAATTAGCTTATAATCCGTGCATAAACATATTCCTTTATTTTCTCCGAAATTACTTGAAATATGGACAAATTTTTCTCAACGTCAAAATGAGTTCAGTATATGTAGTATTAAAATACAAATTCTACAGATTTGTTTAATGTTCTGTCCTACATTTATATCAAGATCCATATTTACAAGTTCAGAAAGTATAAATAACGGAGAATATACATGCAAGATGCATCCGCTTAATAGTAAATTCACACAAACCTGGACATGAAGTCATTTCTCAGTTCGCCGATATATCTGCATTATATAATGTTAGTAATACGTAGCGTAGTTTAAAATGAGATGCCATGTGGAGTTTGCAAAACAGAAAATGGATTCTTTGAAAAGAGGTACTTGGTACTTACGTGTTAAAGTGGCCCAGCTGACTTCAAAATTGACCGCCATATTGTCCACCATGTTTGCGCATGAGTAATATATCCATATTTTAATTAAAATCCACAGATGTCAGTGTGATATATGAGCTATTTCGCGCTCTGAATTTCTTTGGAGGTTATGAATCGTTATGAATTGTGGGATTTGCAGATAACTGAAGAGGAGTAGATCAGTTGTTTTCTCTAAACAATGGAATTCTGCCAAGTCAACGCAAGTCCGATAGTATGAGCCTTTAATGGATCTACAAGACAGTCACTGAATCTTTTCTTCTCTTTCACTTTTGGGAGTGCATCATACTGAACACAAAAAAGCCAATACGTATAATGACAACTGGTTTGAGAATAATCTGCTCACCTTCGTTGCGGCCGTGAAGGCAGAATACTGAGCGACTACGCAGGTGCCAACGTGGAGGACACTATGGCGGTAAAATTTAAAGTTACATGGGTCATCCGCAAACACGTAAGTACAAAATTCTTTTGTGGCCAATAACTACAGATCCTTTCGATTTTCAGATTTTAATTTCATCTTAAAGTTCATTAAAGGGTATGAGAGACGGAAAATCTCTTAATCATCTACATGAATCAGCCTTTTCTTGAGAAATTGATAGTCACTTAGCTGATTAAGAATTTCACTACTTTTATGGAATCTGAAAGTTTATTACCGTGATGGAGTTGAGGTTCTCACAGCGGTGACTATGACGAGAGCAGTCTTCTGAGTTGTGACACCGTGTGGTTATGAAAACCCTCCTTCTTGCTTGGTTTACATTTCAACCCTTGTAATGGAGGTAATATGTTCCTCTGAATCTTTTGGCTTTTTGCGAATTACACATTACAATCCAGGACCATATATGTTCCTTACCAAGTTCACAGGAGCTCACTACTAATCCCTATCCCAAACCATATGAATCCAATACACAGTTCCATGCTCTTTTCATCCATTTTAATATTACATGATATAATTAAAGTAAAAATATTAGCCTGAAAGTAGCTTTCATAGGAGAAATATTTGTCATTTTGATAATCATTTTGGATTGATATTAACATCAATTAAAAATAAGAGAAATGATGGAAAGCTGTATCATGTGTTACACTTACAGAAGAATAAAATCAATATCGGTAATGAAAACGTATTTAATGCTTCACTATAATATATACAGTATACACATATTGTACAGTTACTCTGTCATAATTAAAATATTCACACACACTGAAACATCAGTGTTGACTTGGAATTCTGGAAATCACTTTACTTGCTGACTGTGGTATGCTGAAAAACGTGTCAACAGGTCAGGGAAGATTTCAGCCACTGGAAAAAAAAAAAAGCCCTTGTATACAAATTCTGAGTGCCTTTTACATGATTTTTCTTATATTCATTCTAACCTTGTACTGACAATCCTATTTATAACAGAAAATATATTATATTTCTGATCTATGTATGTGCTTGTGTTCATTTTCATGCATGCTTGCACACATGCACTTGTGTGTGCATGTGTGCACTTTTATGTGTAAAATCATGCTGAAGCTGCAAATTGAAGTTCTATTGTAATGAAGGGGATACATTTACTTTACCTCTGCAAGACTTTGTTTTATACTTCCATTCTGAAGTGGATCCTTTGATTCAAATAAGTCTGTTGAAAGAATGGCTAGTATTAGTGTAATGAATCTAAAACATCAGCTTTTTGTTCTAACACTTTTAATTATTCATGTAATTAATACCTTGTCAAATTTAAAGTGCAAGAACTGATACAAATATAATGCCAGATTTTCATTCTAATAATGCTTTTCACATTATTTTACCGACTTCCTTATGAAACTGGATCACATGACTTACTGAATGCAACACTCAGATGTAAAATGGCAGACACAAAATCCCCAAAACGGAGTGTTCCATCTTTTCTCATGTAGCGAAGAATGAGAATTGAAAGTACGTCTGTACTCAACTGGAAACCTGAAATAATATACTTGAACTGTATGATCATATTTTTATTCTAAAATTAAATATAAATTGCATTCCTAGAATGAAGCACTGAATATGAAAAAGTTAATTCAAAGGAATAATAATAATTTTAGGCATAAAGATCTAAGAATATAGCCCATGTAACAAAAAAAAAAAATCAGAAAGTTGCCTTCTTTGACATGTGTGTCAGAAGAAAAATCTAAAGCTTAAATGTGTTAGCCTGGAAACATTTGATTACAGGAAATATGTATCAGAATTTCTGACAATAATGCTGAATGTATTAAAATTCACGTTACACTCTCTGTAAATTTTAAGTATAACAGATCATAGTGAATAATGAACTCAACAGCAGCATGACATATGATGTGCTATCTGATTTAAATATGTAATTCTAAGTCATTTCTCACGTTACATTAGAAGGATACATATTTAGCATTAAGTTTAATAAAAAAGTATATGAACACACAAGAGCTTTATATTAAACCAATGGACTCTTATTCTTATCATAATCCTTATCCCCATTATCATTGTCCTCCTCCTCCTCTATAACATTGTTAAGTAATGACCAATAATTATAATGAATCACATACCCACTTCTAACAGAGCATCTCTAAGTCGTTCTGCTTTTAATATCCCTGTTTTTTCCTTAGTGTGGTTTTTGAACGATGTTTGCCAATATTTCAGGCTGCACATCAAATCCTTGAAGTCACTAAACTTTAGTCGACCACTTCCAGAGTTCTGAGGTGTGTTAAGGAACTGCATAAGGTATGTCAGCTGAAATTTGTCCATACTAAAGAATGACACAACTTAAATCTGTGCTGATAGTAAAACAGCAGAAAGCTGTGAAGTCTCTTCCTGTAATCTTTCATTTCATTGATATAATTCATAACATCAGTGAGCAGAGGAATATCCTACATGAAATAAGAAAACAGAAGGCTAATTGGATTGGTCATGTTTTACGCAGAAACTGCCTTCTAANATAAATCTGTGCTGATAGTAAATCAGCAGAAAGCTGTGAAGTCACTTCCTGTAATCTTTCATTTCATTAATATAATTCATAACACATATATATTTTGACACTTATATTCAAGATCATTGCCACACCTGAAAAAGTGAAAGGTAGAGTTGATGATGGATGATTGATGATGATGATGATGATGATGGTGATGGTGTCACAGATTCATTTGCACCAGCAAAAGTATCCAGGCATAGAAGTTTTATTGTGTTCAAAGCAGCCTATGAACGATAACTTGTTTCATCAAACTGTCTTACAAATTTTCTGTTAATAAGGATACATCCAACGTGAGGACCACTTGCCGACACACCTCCATACAGGCACAACTCTTTATATAATCTGGAAGTCAGTAAGAACAGGAACATCAATGTCTAGAAGTCAACATAGTTTCCAGGAAAATTTAAAATGAATTTCACTCTTTGCTATATCTGGCCGACCATATGAGATATGAGTTTTCACAACACATACTGACTTTTGGGACATAATGCCCTGTAATATGGCAAATGGGCGCCAATGTTTTGGAAGACCATGCTGCCTCCATCTTCAAAAGGCACCAGTGTTTTTGAGAAATATGTGCTATCCATCTTCAGGCTACCCTGAAGAACGAGGCAGCAAGTTCCAATCAAAATTCTGGTACCTACCCACGTCCTATGAGTTCAGTTAATATATATACTTTTTGATTATTATATCTTGTTAGATGTAAGAAAGGATAAGTATTTCTACATTGTATCACCAATGACATAACTTCCCTAACAATGTAAAATCTAACATCTGAAGCCATAAGGGTGACTGAAAATAAAATCTTTTCAAAATGTCAGCCATGTCAAATGGTTAAAAATGACAGAGTTTCATCTTCTGATGATGGGGCCAGAGATGATCCCTTCAATCATTTTAGACCAACTGACACAGCTGACAGCCCGAGGATATTTTATTAATTTTAGTATGTGTGAAAGATTCAGATGTTAGATGTACAATGTTATGGAAGTCGTGTTGTTGGTGGTACAGCGTAGAAACCATTGCCTCAAAGATTTTATTAGTTTCTTAGTAATTCTGACCATTTTGTACCTTTAATTTAAATTCAGTTTCAAGTTTAAATAGGGTTAGCTACTTCATCTCATACAGTCATCAGTAAGTACTGTGCAACAATACTGAATTTATAAGGACTGAAAATAAATGGTCCACTAGGTTTTATTGTTTTTCAGTTACAGCAAAAATACAGTAATGGGCCTGCTGACCTCAGGGTTTGATATATTACATGGGTCCTAAATACATTCTGTTTACTGAATTTTGTTAAACAAAGAGAGAGACTAGTGTATGTATACTAGTAAGGTCTTAATTAAAAAGATATAAAGGCCTGCTTTTGGTTGATACTTCATAATACTTGCCATTTGGTAAACAAGCATCCAGTAATTCTTGCAGCTCAAAGGCATTTACTGTTCTGTGCTCATCAGCCAGTTGCAAGAAAACAGCTTCATACTGGCTAAAACTCTTCCCATCCAAAGTGGCTGGTGCCTGTAGGAAAGAAAAAAGTGTTACTTGATTGTGCAGGAACAGAATTTGGTGGAACTTCCATTTAACACATTCCTTTAGGGAATAAGTTTGGAGTTTCAAAGAAGATGAAATACAGGAGGCTAGTTTAGGCTACAAAATTCATATAAATTATTACCACATTATAACCGCATTAGTTTAGTTCTCATGAATTTCATTTTGAAGATAATTCTCTGTAGTTGTATTCAAAGTTCTGTATACAATAGTAATTAGATATATACATCTTGAAGAGCATGTACCATGTCTGCCATTGTGTAAATTATATTCTCCTTCCCCTTCAGAGTCCACCTAACAATCATTCAGCAAATTTAAACTGAATATTAATGAAGTAGGCAAGGTATACTGCTTCTTACACACTGGTAATTATTTGTTTGTAGGTTCTTCTGGGTACAGAACAAAGTCAGAATGCTAAAAATTACTAGGAAATATAGTAAAGTTCAAACTTATGGTTATTAGCTTATATTTTTACTTCTAATTCTCTAATAATTGTAGTAATTTAGTTAAAATTAATGTTGGCTGATGCAAAACAAATGCATGCTTGAAAGAAAACTATAACTGAATTTCATAATGAGTCAGTGTTCTGGTGTAGAAACTTAAAATGAACAGAACATAATCTTCAGCCTACAAAGCCATATGGCAGAACACATATTTCTATGCTGTGAGCAGCAACAAAAGAGTTTAATGAGACATATGAAACTGGAAGATAACTTCAAATTAACAACCAGTTTCAAGTCTACAGTAATCAATCACTTTTTCTAAAGACCATTTACTTATGTGTTCTTGTTTCACCTCAGTCCATACCAAGTTTTCACCAACTAAAATAAATTAGAATATGAATATTTTATCATCATTCTTACAAACATTTGGGTTGCTAAATTATCCAGTTTTACCAAGTAACCAATTTAATTACCATGTTTGTGTTTTCAAGCTCTTTATTACGAGGGTCATACTGAAAGTCATGAGCAACAATTTTTTGTGAAGTNTCCAATTTAATTACCATGTTTGTGTTTTCAAGTCATGAGCAACAATTTTTTGTGAAGTAACATGCTTTCTTATTGACAAACCAAATACACCATCTCAATCTACAAACCTTTTTTTATTTTTCCACATAATCGCCACTTGTTTGTACACATTTCTCCCAGCGTTCTGGGAGTTTGAAAATTCCCCTTCTGTAAAATTCTGTTCCAGCCATCTGAAGGCACTGACGCACTACTTTCTGAATTGCCTCCCTTGTCTCAAATTGTCCACGCAGCTGATCCTTCACAAATCCGAAAAGATGGTAGTCGGAGGGTGCCAGATCAGGGCTATAGGAGGGGTGTGGAAGAACTTCCCACCCCATCTTTACAATTGCTTCCAATGTGAGGCGAGTGGCATGAGGGCAAGTGTTGTCATGCAGGATAATGATGTTTCGTCCCGGACTTTTATCGCGCAATGCACGACGGAGCTTGTTCAGCGTCTGGACATAACGAGCAGCATTGATGGTTTGCCCAGGTTCCAGGAATTCGGCCAGAATAACCCCTCTGCATTCCAGAAGACTGTGCCCATCACCTTTGCAGCTGATGCCACTGTCTTTGCTTTCTTTTTTGATGGAGAATGCAAATGGTGCCATTCCATACTCTGCAATTTCGTTTCAGGCTCGAAATGGTGAAACCAGCTTTCGTCACCTGTCACAATACAGAGCAAACAATCATCACCTTCGTGTCGATATCTCTGCAGCAGTTCTGAGGTGATGGCTTTTCGCTGACCTTTGTGGTCTTTGGTCAATAACTGCGGGACCCAACGAGCACAAACTTTCCTATAGCCCAAGCTTTCAATCATCTCCTGTACTACACTGTGCCCTACTCCAAGTTTTTTGGCTGTTGTGTCCACAGTCACATGCCTGTCATCTTGAATGATCTCATCCACTCTTTCCTTGTTGTGTTCAGTTGAGACTGTCCAAGGACGACCACTCCGAGGCTCATCTTCGATGCTGGTGTTCCCATCTTTAAAATGTTTCATCCATCTTCGAACACTGCTCGCACCCATGCACACACTTCCATAAGCACGCTGAAGTCTGGTGAATTTCTGCAGCAGGGATTTCCTCTTTCACAAGAAATTCGATGACAGCACGCTGGCGAAATGACACATCGTTGTCGGCCATTTTGTTAGACGTGATACTGGTCATGTGATTGACATCACAAGACACTCAGGGTTAACACAGTAGCTGGTTCCACCTACCACCGTACTCTCTTTTCGTCTGCTGTTCCCAGGTTGCATGCAAAAAAAGTTGCTCATGACTTTCGGTACGACCTACGTATTTGATATGCATACTTATATACCATTACAAAACTTCCACTCTGTTAGTCAAGTTCATTTCCCAGTATTAATCTTTTGCAGTGTCATTTAATTTTATTATCCTGATGTTATCAGATTACTTAACTTAAATGTCATTTAAATACCATGTTTAATTTAGTAGGAGGTATTCGGTTTTTATTACATTCTGCTATGTTAGGAATGGAAATTAAATCTGGTTAAGCAAAAAATAATTACTGAAACTGTGAAATGAAAATTACATATTCTTTCATTCAATAGATACAAAATGATTTTGTTAATACAGCATCACAAACTTTCAAGCATGCAGATCCGCTACCTAAACCATGGTTCTTATACTGCTGAGAACTCCAAAAACAATGCAATATGGTTTCACTTTAGTTAACCTTTCAGACCAAATATTAATCTTTGTTAACCATATGTATGTGTCTGATTAAATGAAAAGTAACTTAATATGTAGGTATCACACAGTACATGGGTCAAGTTTAAATAATAAAACAACGAAACAACCTATGAACTCCATATTTAGGACTGACTGATCCAAAAATTTGCATTATGAGAGAGCAGAAGAGAAGAGGAAGAGGTTGAGGAGGAAGAAGAGGAATAATAGGATAAGAAAGAAGAAGTAGAGAGATTATAATGGTGGTGAGGTTGGTGGTAATGGTGCTGATGATGATTTCATTACAGTTCAATAGCTATTAAAAGCACAATTTGTGTATATTACATTCTTTTCTGCAAGCTCTGAACTACGAGAATAATGAAACACTAAAGGAAGACATCACTGAAGCAATGCAATGTGTACAAATGCCTGTCCCCTGACTAGCATCTTACATATATGGAACACATAGCTTTTTTGTTATGGAAATAAACTAATAATCTTCACTTCAGAGGAAGAGAATATAACGGAGTATGTGAAAAAAAAATCCTTTTAAATTGTTGATATATACCTTGATGATGGCTGACTTTATTAACGATGGCTGCATGTCAAGTAATCTGCAACAAAAATTAAAAAAACTGAAACACAGTCATTAATATAAGAAACAGAGATATTTCATCATATTTTTGTATCATAATAAAAATTGTTGGAAGGCGTTCTTAAAAATGAATGAATGTATGAGGGGTAGGCCTCCTCGGACCTTGCACTGCGACCTACAGTGGCTGCCTAATATAATGAGGATCAAGATGTGCTGTTGAATCATCATCCAGTTATTCATTTCTGTGATTAAGGTACTTGAATGTGATTCTCTATCAGTTTTTTGCAGGTATAAAATTCCCTTGTCTCTACTGTTAATTAATGAACTCCACATTCCTTGAGAAGCTGATAATTGGTCAGCTGGTCAAGAAATTCCTCAACGTTTGCAGAAACGAAATGTTATTACTATGATCACAAGAATTCATTACTGCACCCTATTCTGAGTCAGTTAAATTCAGCTCAGATGGATTCGTTTTAATATTAGCTTCCCATATATATACGAATCTCTCAAGCAGCTTCTTTACTTCAGATTTAATGACTAAAATTTTGTATATATTCTTCATTTCCCATATGTGCTATATGTGTCACCAGTCTCATTTTCCTCAATATGATCGATATTAAGTTAAAGGAAAAATATTTTTTTTGTGAAACTGCATTAAAAATATCCATGAATTTCTAATATACACAATGTGTGATGTCAGCCTCTCTCTGCTTAGAGCAGTCGTGCCAAAACTGCATGATTTCATGAATCCGTATTCTGAGGAATGAGTACACGTAAATCACCATTAAAAATTGATCATATTTTACTGAATTTCCCCCTTATTGCTAAATAGTTAGGCAGTGTTTCACAGACAAGTTCTTTTCTGAAAGAATGGTAATATATGTATGAGGGGCAGTCAAATGAAAATGGGTCAGAAGCCAGAACATATTAAAGAATATTTCTTACCTAAAAAGTAATCTCCAAAACTGTTAATACATTTATCCCACTGGGAGATAAGATGGTCAATCCCATCCTTGAAAAAGCTTGTGGGCAGTCTACGGAACCACATCTTTACCCAGCCACACACGTCTTCGTCCGATGCGAACCAATGTCCATGGATGTCTCTCTTCAGGTCTCCAAAAATGTGAAAATCTCATGGGGAGAAATCTTGGCTGTAGGGGGGATGTTGAAGCACTTCCCAACCAAATCTCTGTAGTGTATTCCTCACAGAGTTGGCAGCGTGGGGGCGCACATTATCATGAAGAAGGGTAATGCAGTTCGATAGCATTCCAGGGCGTTTTGACTTTATGGCACGTCTTGGTTTCTGCAAAGTGTCTTCATAGCGCTGTGCACTGATTGTGGCCCCATGCTCGAGAAATTCTACAAGCAGAGGGCCCTTGCAGTCGAAGAAGGAAGTCATCACTTTACTGGAACTTGTGTGTATGGCTTTAGATTTCTTTGGTGGGGGAGAATTCACGTTTTTCCACTGTTGGCTCTGCCATTTGCTCTCGGGTTCAAAATGGTGGCACTAAGTTTTGTTCCCAGTGGCAATACAGGACAGAAAAGCATACTCTTCCTCATGGTATCGTTGCAAGTGATCCAGTGATGCAGCCATTCTCTGAGTCTTCTGTTCCTCCATGAGTTGATGTGGAACCCACTGCGCGCAGATTTTGCAGTACAGCAGGTGTTTTGTCACGATGGCGTGTATGGAACCGTTACTTATTCCCATCAAAAGACTAATTTATTCTACAGTGATCTGTCGGTTTGCCCGGATATGAACATCCAACGCATCAATAACATCAGGAGTGATGACATGATGAGCCTGTCCTGGCCGAGCATCATCTTACAGTGACACACATCCCTCTCGGAACCTCTTATGCCACGCCAGCACATACGAATGTGATATGCTGTGTTCGCCGTAAACAACAGACATGCGATGATGAATTTCTCATCCTCCTACTCCTTCAGCAGTCAAAAAGCGTAGTACACTACTTCGCTGTGCTTCTTTACCTGCCTCCATTACTGATGTTGGATGACCACACGTAGCGCTAACCTTACTTCCAGCACAATAAACAAATGACTAGTGTGCAAGGGCATTGAGCCGATCTCTTCGGCTCATTGGATGTGGTGCCCTCTCTGAGCGACGGTGGCCTAGGCTCCTACCATTTGTTTTCCTACATCCCTTACCACTTCTCCTTATTCCGTGGCGCATCTTACGTCACCACCCTCTGT